ACGGTTACGCAATGAAAATTATTAAAATTATTGACACGAGCACAGAAGAAAGATTTGAAAACAAAGAACAATTTACTCGGCTTTATATTTTATGTTTTTTTGGCGGAACTAATACTTGAATAATTTACAATTAATTTAATTTATGTACAGCAATAAATAAATATGTTTTTGAACGGCTTATTCGGTAGTCAAAATTCGTAGTAATTTTTATCGCAAATATTCATTACTTTATAGTAAACAAACAAAATGCTCTGTAAACTATTTGAAGTACAAAAATTAGTATTTGTATGAAAAATATAATTATCACAATTGCTCGCGTACAGTATTAGCATTGCAATTAACTCAATGTTAGACGACTCAGGAGTAAATTAAAAATGTAACTAACCAAATATATTACATTCCAAATAATACCGTTAAGTTATTAGACTTTCATACTTAGAATCGTTTTATAATTAGGTACTTCTAATTGTAATGAAAATCTCCACTTAGTTGCTCCGTTACATACTTGCAAAAACAAAACAGTTCACTTTCCCTCCGTAATTTTCCAATCGCGGATCGGAAAATTTCGTGAATGTTCCAATAGATTCTTAACCTAAAAAAGTACCTAATATACAGCATTATTGTAGAATGAAAGTAGCATTTAATATTGTTCCGGTAATTCATAATAATTAATAACCATTGTTCCAGATGTGGGCATTGTTATGTCTCGCGGTCAGCGTGTGCGCTGCGCATGGGCTCCGCGTGGGCGTGGGCATCGCTGACGTCACCGGACCCCCAGCAGAGATCGGCTTTGTAAGTACTTTTAACCTCTCTACTTGTACACGCGTGACGTGTATGAATTTGTTATTAAAGTCCCTTTACTAAATAAAAAGTCCTTGGGGTAGAAATGAGCGTAATTACTGCTAACGCCATCTCTTGTCATAAAATGTAAAGTGTTTAAAAACCTATTAATAATTAAACAGATAATAATTAATCTTTGGATATTAAAAACACGTACGTAACAATGAAATAATAAACAACAAACAGAAACAAAATTCTCTGCGTATTAAAATAAGATTCAGATTTCTTTTCATATGCTACCAATAGATGGCTCTTAAAAATATACAAACGCGAACATACGTTAAATTTAAATTGTGTTGCTTTCGTTTACATTTTTATATATTGTTAAATATTTATCATTATTGCAGATGGGGTACGCGAATTTCGAGCAGAGCGGACAGGGAATTCATTTGCGTCAGTTCGCGCGTGCGTTCGTGATCGCCGATGACAACAGCCGGCTTGTTTTCGTCTCCGTAGACGCTGCTATGATGGGCAACGGAATAAGGAAAGAGGTTAATTAATATTAATTTATCATCTCCCTGACCTGATCCTATATTATGTTGGTATAACAGATTTTTTAATCAAAAACTATCATTTTGGCATTTTATTCGTTAATTTCTTTTTTTTTTAATTTAGAAGGTGGTAAACATAGCGAATCCACCGCTGTCTATAGATATCCGTGACTGGAGATGCGTTATCTACTTTTCATTAACGGAGGAGGACACACACAAAGAGGATATTTCCCCCTCCTATACATTCGTATATTTTATACGTCTAAGTGGGAAGTGAATTTAATTCCTTAACTTAATATGCAGGTATTAAAGCGTCTACAGAAGCGTTTCGGCGATTTGTACACAGAGAACAATGTGATACTGAGTGGTACACACACGCACTCCACGCCGGGAGGCTTTCTTATGGACTTCCTCTTTGACCTGCCCATACTTGGCTTTGTTAAAGAGACATACGTTGCTTATATTGCTGGAATACTAAAGGTAAATACGAATATATAATTGAACTTTAATAGATTGTTATA